CCATAATTTTATTGAGAAACAAATAGGAATGAGACAGTTTCAAACCAAACTGGTAGGACAGATTCAGTAATTAACACATTGCATACATTCTTCCTAGTGGTTATTTGCTGTACAAGATGCGGACTTGATATCCTATTTACAAACACTATTAGAACAAATCCCTCTATTCATTAAGAGAATGTAATTATATATCTATCCTAACCACTTTGAATACACAGATACAAAATGGACATTCATCTGTATTCCCTTTTTTTGTTAAGTTCCGTTATTTGAATATTATAGGTGTGTTAACTTAGCAAAATATTCTAAGAGTCCAGTAGTCCATAATAGTATTGGGTCTTCCGCTTCACTGGCAATGTCAGCAATTGTTGACCTGAGTCCCCTACAGCATGGCTTTACTTCTTATACTTCGTTTTTATACTTTTCTGCTGGATGGTTAAGACCAAGGTAAAGCAGGACCTATGCAACAAGAATATTTAACTTTTTATATCATTTTTAATTCCTTTAGTACTTCTCTGCCAGTTAATTTTTTATATCCTTTTCAATTCCTTGAGTTTTTCTACCTCAATCACAAAATCTTAAATCCAGGGCCAGTGAGATAGCTCCGAGGACTAAGTGCTTACTCTGGCAAGCGCAGGGACCAGGGTTCCATCCCTATCCTGCATGCTGCACTGGCCCAGTCCCCAGGGCATGCTGAGCCAGTGACCAAGTCCGGACTTGGTGGCACAAACCTGTAATCTCAGCACTAGAGATGCTGAAAACAGGAGGATCACTACAAGTCCGATCTGTGTAGTGAGAACATGTACCAAATACTTAAATGGAAAAATCAATAAATAATCTTAAATCCAGGGCAAGAATCAAGGTTCTTAGCAATCACTATATCCCAACAAGTTTCTAGGGTACATTATTTTGCAGTCCCTTAAAGACAAAAACAAAACATAAAACAAAAATCCTTCATTCTTATATCTTTTGAAAATGAGCATTTTGAGTATCTAAACGAAACTTCAATTAAACCTTTAAAAGGAATGCTAACAATTTATATAACAAATTTTTAAAAAATAAAAAAATATAAAAAATAAATAAATATGAAAACATTAAAAAAAAGCAAAAATAATTCTTACCACTAAGAACAGATAGAGAAGCTCACAACTGCAACCCAAATTATCTCTGGTGTTCTACTCAGGATTTCAGTTATAAACAAACCAAGACGAAGTCACTTAGCAATTCCCCTGATCTTCTTCCTTAAAAGGTGCCCTGAATGAACATCATGTTCCATTGTGTATCTAGATTACTAGTGCAAAGCAAAGAAGAAATATCACATGAAAGGATGGAAGCATTTTTTTTTTTCAAATGTGAACACAGGTACCATTAGGAAAATGAGAAACACAGAATGATAGACTTTGGTAATTAGGGGAAAAGGAGTTCTGGTATTTAGCATTAAGGCAAAATAAAGCTTTAGAGAAGCACTTGTTAAAACATTTGGAGAGAAGTACTGTTTTTCTTTAAACTCAAGAATAAAATTTAAAAAAAAAAAAAGTATTTGTCCCATCACTTATTGTCTATATTGAAGCACTTAACTTGATTTTTAAAAGGTTAAAATTATTAACAGCTTATGAGAAACTACCAAAATCTAACTGGGCTGATAAATGCTTTATTTCTGGAAGAGCTCAAAGGAATCAAACTATCAAATTTGAGCACTAATTTCATCACATAAAGTTACCTGAATAAATTACGGTTTGCTAAGATACTATTATTGTTAACAGTTTCTGCCTCTTTTAATGTTTTTCCCATTTTCATACTTGAAAGTTAATCCATCTCTGACTAAAGTTTCTCCATTCCTTCATGTTAATGTGTCTACAACTTTAGCAGTTACGATTACAAACAAAAATGCTTACTTTATAAACTCTCTAATCCTCAAAAGGTAAGTCTACCTTGACATTTGTTAATGTCAACCTCTATGAGATTGAAGGAAAGTTCATTTTCAATACCCTGTACAGGGGGCCTGCTCATTACCTCAGGTGTTTTAGTGCCTGCTGAAACAAAGCAGTCGGGCTCAGGATGCTATGGTTCGATCCCCTCATCCTCAAGCCAAACCAGACCTGCCCTGAAGGCATTCTGAGCGCCCCACGCCCCCCCGCCCAAAATAACCTGTACAGTTTCTTTAGTGTTCATTTTATGGATGACTGTTGGTAAGAGAATTTTCATTTTATGGGCATTACTGTCTAGTCAATTTTTCTAATCCTGTAATTCTAAGAAAATTAAAAGCAATTTTCTCTTATTATATTATCTCCATCATCACTTTCAAAAGAAAATGGCTCACAGTATTTTGTTTAAGGCTGTGGATCACTTTTTTCCCTCAGAAAACTCAACATTTATCCAAAGCATAACTGACTGGGTAATTATAGTCCCTCTATCTAGCTTCAAAATTTATTACTTTCCAAGAGCTTTCTGCAAGTGTGGCCAGTCTTTAAAGTATTTAGTGCTGAAGTTTAGCTTTCTATCATTTTATGTGATTATACAAAAAAATGACTCAACTAATAACAACATACAATTATCACTAAATTACATTTTGCCTCCTAGGAAAGGTAGTGGCTTGGAAATATCATGACCTATACAAAGCCAAACACATTCAAAGTGGGATGACCAAAAAAGTAAACAAATTATATTTATAGCCATTATCTCTACTAAGAAGGATAAAATACTATACTAAAATGTGTTACTGGGCCGGCCAAATAGCTCAGTGTATTAAAGCACCTGCAAGCAGGTGCAGGGGCTAGGGGTTCGATCCCTGGGCCTGCCGTGATGCTCCATCCCTGGGGCACACTGAGAGGGCAATTGACACTGGGCATGGTGGTGTGTGCCTGTAATCCCAGCTCTTCGAAGGCTATAAACAGGCGGATCACTGAGTCCAATCTATTAGTGAGACCCTGAATACCCTGTAGATCCTTCCCTAAAAATACAAAAACAAAAAAAACCTAAAATGTGTCACTTTGATTAAAACTTAAATAACTACAGTATACTTATTTTTGGTTGAGATCTGTATACATGAGAACATGAATTGCCACATATTACAAATATTTAAATACATTACTGTTTCTCATGAACATTAGTAATATTGAAAGAAGAAATTATTTAACCTACAATTATTTTTTGACTTCACCTACAGAAAAATTTGAAGTCAAATTCACTTTAATTTTACAGTGTATTAGTGTTGATACAGATTTTTTTCTGCAACTTTTTCATACGGTAATTATAACTGTCCTTTTTACATGTATTTTATAGTTCTAAGCCACTTCAAATGCTTTTTGAAAGGCTTAACATAAATCATGACTGAAAATGACTAACTTTGACTAAATAACCACCCTTCTCCAATATACATCAATCCTAGTGAATATCAAATCTCATGATCATGGCTTTCAATATAAAATATTCATGCCTATTTCAGATTACTAGACTCTAATAACCTGCCTTTGAAGACAAATGAGATATACACATGCTTCCCCACTCCCAAATACCCTGTTGTAGAAATAAAGTGAACCCTTTAGTTACTTTTCCTAAAGGCATTCAAACATGAACAAGCCTGAGAGTACAATGTTGTTTTTCCTTTAACTAAAACTTCCAGGAAAAATATTTAGAATGACTTAAAGACTTTTGTATGAATAGCTGTCTAAACACAGAACAAATTAGGAAGCTGTGGGTCAAACATAACTTCACTCAGCTCCACTAAGCTGAGTCTCTCTACAATGAAGCTTGCTTAACATACTGGTTTCTATAGGACTTGGTAAGACTTGCTGAGCACCAAGGTAATCTTTTAAGATACTAATCAAACATGGTTCTACATTAAAAAACCCCAGAGATGGTCTTAGGACAACAGAAGCACCTCAACCACCAAGCAAGTTTCTATTATAGTATAAGTAAAATTCCCACACAGCAAATCCTTGAACAGTTCAGCAACCAATGAATAGAAAAGTCTTAAAAATCTATTTCTGATTATTCCTTTGGATCTTTCAACTGTAGTTAAAATATATGGAAAACAATTAGTTGTCAGAAAGCTTGTGACTACATAATGTGTTTCTTATAAAAAATACTAGCCTGAATCAAGCATGGAGAACTCAGATAGACACATAGTAGACATTATTACCCTGGCTGCAGGCACCTCCTCCTGAGTAGTGTCTAATACTGGGCAAGTTTCATTAAGGTTTAATGGCCTCACAGTAAAGAAGACCAACACATTCAGTTCTGGAACCAACAAAACAAGATGATTAAACACACACTACAAATACATAGGTGTAAAGCTGCCACATTTCCCCAGCAAACAGAAGAAATCTTCCTGGCCTACACTGAACACATCAGTAAATGATGCTGTACTGAAGAGCCTATCGCTGGGTGAACATTAAATAGAATCACTTTTAATATTGATATATGGTAGTAAACTTCTAAAAGATTAGACTTATGAGAACATAATTAGAAAGCACATTCCTCACTGCATTTAAAGTTAAATACAAACTTTTCTATTGAAGCAATTTATATTTTTTCTAATTCTTAAAATAGGCATCAGTTTTCTTAACAGAAGAAAAGAGATTCAGCCATAGAGCCACATATTAGGTATTCAGACAGGTCTAAAAAAACTAAGTTAATAAACTGAATAATTTAACTGGAATAAATTAAGAACACACATTCACAATATAATTGTAGCTTTTGGTCAGGAACACATAAACCAAAGGCAAAAATCTGCCAAAATTAAGGCAGGTTTTTTTGTTTGCTTGTTATTCATATATATATACATTATGGTGGGCTTTTCCCTCCCACCCACCATATTCATTTAGCATTCATCTTTATTTAAAATGCATTGCCAAGCAAAAATACAAGCTTCTTAATTAAAAAAAAAAGTCAGAGAGAACTTCTGTTTTAGATTCTTCCTTATACCTATTTATAGTATTTTCTTTTTGGCTTCATATACCTGGTAAGAGATTACACCAATTCATACAACTAGGACCAACCACAAAGTGTGATGACTGTTAGGGTGATAGCCGTTGGAAGGAATTATTTTCTTCTTCTGCTGGAGTCAATTTGAGTGTTGGCAGTTTCCGAGGAGGCAGCTGGGGGCTTTGACGAAGATTGTCATCCATCTGCAGGATGCACAAAAAGACACACCTGATTAACCATATGTCACCAGAACTGCTACAGAAACTTCTTCCTACAAGTACTCTCAAGGACTGTAAATATCATATTGCTAATACTAGTGGACTACCTACAGAAAGCATTATGACTCACCCTTGGGACTTTCACATTTTATAATTCCACTAAATGAAAATGAACTCACCCACAGCGTCAGTTTAAGAGGTCTTCTAACAGAAAGGGTAAAAGCACTAATTCTATTACATTAAGCCCCACAGTTTATAGTCTGTGCAGCCCAATGTTGCATCTGATCTTCCCAATACACTGAAGACAAGGAAACCCAGTTCTTCCCTGATGTACAAATTAGCAAAATGAGGGTCAGAAAGGATAAGTGATTGGTCTCAGGCCCAAAAGCTACTATGAGCGCTGAAATCTAAACCACATCTTCTTACTACAACAGTTATCATTCTTTCAATGTTTTGCCTCCATGAAAATGACCTGTCCTTTACTCAGAAAGCCCAGCTCTTTCAAGCTGCAAGTATGTACACAAAGAGAAGTTAGAAAAAGAGGTAGAAAGGGCAAATTTTTTATGCCTAATCCACACACCTTCCAACAATCAATCAGTTCAAGCCTGATTTAAAGAAACAAATTATTTGTAAGTAGGATCACAAGTCTGCATCTTGTACAGCAATTAACCACTAAAAAGAATATATGCGGTGTATTATTTGTTGAAACTGTACTTTCGATTTGATTTGAAACTGTCTCATTGCTATATGTTTATCAATAAAACTTTAAAAAGAAAAAAAAAAGAAACAAATTAATGTAAGCATATTAAGAAAATGTCCAATGTAGGATAGAGATTACGCAGAAATCAAATTCCTGAAAACTACTTTTAACCAGAGTACTCCACAAAGTGGAAGACTTGGATCCTGATGGTGAGTTCACTTTTAGCTTAACCTTCACTACTGGAAAGTAATTGCAACCCAAGAAGCACAAAACCAAGAAAAAACAAGATCCTAAAAACTACTCGATAGGCAGGTTTTTTTTAACTTTACACAGGTGCAGACTATTCAAAACTGACCCTCATATTTACAAAATTTTCTTATAAAAATGTTTTTCATTGAGTTGAAGTGAAGGACAGAAGAGGGAGTGGGGGAAAGAGGTTTATCTATGTAGGTAAACAGGATGGCTTGGACAACTGTACCATGCAGGGAAAGGAGCAGATAATACTGAATTTGTTTTGTCTCCTTTTTTTAATTGTTTGTACTTTGTCTCTTAATTTCTTATACATTTTTTTTCCTTCTACCAATTTTACATGCATATATCTGGTAATACGAATAACTGGATGCAAGACAACACTATGTATTACAACAAATACCGTGAAGTTCATATTACTTTTCCTATGTGAAATTTTTTGTTTGAATTCTAATTTGTACTCTCTCTCTCTCTTTTTTTTTTTGTATTTTAGGGAAGGGTCTACAGGGTGTTCAGGATCTTACTAACAGATCAGACTTGTAGTGATCCACCTATTTACAGTCTCCCAACAGCTGGGATTACAGGCGCACGCTACCATGCCCAGTCTCAACTGTCATCTCAGTGCACCCCAGGAGTGGGGCAGGCACGGCAGGCCCAGGGATCAAAACCCCAGCCCCTGCTCCTATTGGCAGGTTCTTTAATCCGCTAAACTATTTGACTGGCCCTTGTAGCCTCTTTAAAAACTAAAAAAAAATGTTTTTCAGCAGAAATAAATAAGGTCTGTAGAAAAAGAGAAAAAAATTATTTTTCCTCCAGAAATAATTAACAATAAACTATTTAGATTGTTAAGATGTCTTTTCTTTCTTATAAAATGAATTTCCTCAAACATGATTCTCTTTTTAAGCTCCAGACTTTCTCTTCAAATTATGAATCGTAATGGCCAACAGAATCTGTTGCTAACCAATAAATCACACATTTCCCATGGATAAGCTGGGATGAATGAATGGAAAGTGGAGGAAAGGGAATGCTTAATTGAAATAGGTCAAAAACACCTTCACAAACTGATGAGCTCAGGTGCTGTGTACAAAGTGGTGACAGGGCCCTTAAGTTTCACCTTCTATACAGTAGGTATTCATAGTGCTCCTTCCATATTTGGCTTGAATTTGTCAAATACAGAAAATGTAAAGCACACTTGATAGTCTTCATTTAGTAGGCAACTGATATACTTTATATATCAGTTATTTTACAACTTTGTTATACTTTATATAGCTCCATCATGAGGTTTCCTGAACTAAGCAAAGATTTGAGTTAGTACAATCCAATTCTTGACAAAATCCAATTTTGGAAAATTTCAAAAATTATTAAGTGTTTACAATTTTACTATCCAGTTTTTCTCACTTCTCACATTATAACACATGACAAACCATAAAAGCAACAGATGGTCATCCCAGAGAATGAAAGCGCTATACCTGACTATTAGCACCACTAGCAATGGATACATGATCTTGCTCACAAGGTAAGATGTCTGATCACTGAGATGAACAGCTAACACAAAGCTCATGGTAGCATTCCATTTCTATGGTTTACGTTCATATTCTACTTTATGCCAGGGGAACAACCTTGTTAGCTGATTTAAGATAGTCCCATTGCTTCAGTATCCACGTCTGTAAAATGGTGACAACAATAGTATCTATACAAAGTTGCTCTCAGGTTTAAGAGAGCTAACTCATATGAGCCTCACATATTATGCCAGTGTTGGTGAAGAAATGAAATGCTTTAATTTATGTAAGAAAAAAATCACTAAGATATTGCATGTTCAAGTACAAATTCTCTATGATGAATAGGATCACTATATATATCTAAATTACTTAACAAAAAAACTGTAAAAAGCAGGTTCATCAGATAGCTGGGAAAAAATGTGGAATTTTCTTGTATTTTCCCAATTAGAATCACCCCTGAAATTTCCATTGTTGACTCTTTCCTCCATCTAGTTCCTTAATATAGCTCTTACAAAATAAATATCCCAAAGTGGCAAAGAGTGGAAATCTTGACTATATCCAAAACAGAACAGGAAAGAGAAAAACACAAGAAGATATCATAGTGCTATTAAGAGAAGAGAAAAGCACAAAGAAATACAGACTAACAAGAACTTCTGTGTTGTCTATTTTGCAGCACTGGAGATCAAATCCTAGACAAATCCTTGTCAAATGCTACACAAGTGTTCTATCACTGAACTACATCCCCAGTCCTTTTAATTTCTGATACAGAGTCTAAGTATCCAGGAAAGATATGAACTTGCAATTCTCCTGCCTCACCCTCCTGAGTAGGTGGGATTAGGGGCATGGGCCACTATACAAAGCTTCTTCTTTTTTAACTTAGTCATTTAGGCTTCTTAGCTTGACAAGTGCATCTGTGTGGTAAAAGTAAACATAATGTCATTATCTGGACTTTCACCGTAGCAATCAGGTCACTACTGGCTTCAAAATACTTTATTATATACAACCTCAGTAAAAGTGCATTTAAACAGCTTTCTGAAACATAAACCCTTCAGAAAATTGAAAGGGTAACGTCAGTGACCCAACGCTGGCTGCAGAAAGGAAAATACTAGACTACTGTAAAAGAATGTTTGAAATAAACTTGACCTTTTCAATCAAGTTGGATTCCTTATTTACAAGTTGTGTGAGTTTCTGTAGATTTGCATCTACTGTTTCTTGTCCAGTTGGAGAGATACCTAAAAAGTGAGGACAGAGAGGAAATTTTGAAGGTCATTAAAGCTGTTTAGACTAAAAGAATTTTGAGTCTACCCACCCTTCCAAGTGTTTCACCCTTCAAAAAAACAAAGGGAAAAGTCATCCTGGGTTCAAAAGCAAAGTTATAAGGGATAGCAAAGCTAAACAAAAAGAATAAAATCTCCACTGAGAACATCACAACCCAAGTGCCATGTAGATACCCACAGTATCAGTAAAAGCACAATAATATACGGCTACTTTCTCTTAGTTCAATGAGAAAGTTTTGAACTAATAGTGTTTAGACAAGATATCATGTCTGCATCTTGTATCAGGAACAACTACTACAAAGACAATAATATGCAATGTGTTAATTATTGTAACTGTACTACTAACCTGTTTTGAAACTATCTCATAGCTACTTCTTTCTCAATAAAATTATTAAAATAAAAAAAAAGCACAACAGTCCTTTCACTCTGAAATTTAAGTTGTATTTTCCCCTCTGGCATAAGTCTTTGGTCACAACTATCACGATAGCTTCCTAAGGCAATAACTTCCAAACAGCTACTTACCAGGCACTAAAAACACTGAGAGACTTTAAAAGGTCAGAGTTCTAGGACCTATCCTTAGAGTGATTCTAATTCACGAAGTCATGAATAGAACCCAACATTTTTTATTTGTTGTAAAAAAAGGTTTGCTAGTCATTGTTCTAAAGCAACAAAGTTAAATGTTACTTGGCTTCATGATCTCCAATCTTACTCCTCCCTGTATATCCCTATTAACCCCCCACCAGCAAAAAAAAAAAAAAAAAAAAAAGGCTGTCTACCTATACCAGCTATCTTTGTAACTTTTTAGTTGCTTAAAAGGACAGTTTCAGCCAACTCTCCCAATACAACTTCAACATCTCAGTCAGTTAATCACAAAGACTCACAATCAGAGAACCACTCCAACTGACAATGGTCCTCTATTAGTCTGATGCACTCATTTTTTAAGCAACAGAATCATGGGAGTATCTCACCAAAATCAATTTGCCACTAATTTCTGTTCACAGACAAAAGTACAAGATGCAGCAAGTAAGAATCACTTAAAGCAAATGCCTATCTACATTAGAATAAATACAACATTTCAACAATGACTCAGAATACATGTAGTTTTAATCTTTTAGGACAGACCCACTTCAAAGTGGCAGTACTGCATCTTGTACTGTGAATAACTACTACAAAGACAACAATATACAATGTATTAATTACTTTAACTGTTCTACTAACCTGTTTTGAAACTGTCTCATTGGTATTTGTTTCTCAATAAAATTAATTAAAAAGAACACTTGAAGAAGAAATATATAATATTCAGAGGAATAAATCATACACAAGGCACATTTTTGCTTAAATAACATTAATGGGGAAAATGAAGCAGGAAAAATGTAGCTCTGTGAAGTGTTATAACCCAGTATTTAAAGATGATGTTTATATTAAAGTAAGTAACAAGTATTGCTTAGGCATTACCAGGAAAATATGCAAAAACACTATGCAAACAAACATTAGCTGAAGAACAGCCAGCTTACCTGCAAGACTAAGCCTAAAGTAACTATTTAGGATGTCATCACAAAAGCGACAGAGATTGGAAAGCTGTTTCAGATGTTCTTGTAACTGAACTTTAGGAAACTGTACTTTATAAAGAGGTGCAAGAAAGCCAAACACATAGGCATCCAAAGTAGAAGGCCTGGAAATACATTAAGGATTTTTTTTAAGTACATTAAAAAAATATAATTCGGGATTGTGTTTTTCTTTCAAATATATTATCAAATCTGAAGTACATGATACAATATTTTAAATAGTTTAACAGGCACTGTTTTACAAAAACAATGCAACAAGGGTTCTTTTAAGTAGTTTTAAAATAACCACTTATTTCATTTATCAAAAGATGAAATAAAAAATTAGAAACTCATTTCCACAAGTGTTAAACAGACTGGAGGTAGGATGGGAGCAATTTTCACTGTTTCACATTCACATATGCAGCATTTTAAACCAATGTTAGTTCACTGATAGAAAATGTTTTCTATAATAAAAACACATTAAATCTTTTTTTTTTTAAGTGAAAAACATCTTTTGTGGCACAGGAAGGATTTGCTTTAAATAGCTGCTCATGTAATATATACACTAAAATGGTTTTTATTCACGTATCTTCAAAAAAATTTTTCACTCACGTATCTCCAAAAAAGAACTGAGATGTTCCCAATCTGTTTGATAGAAGGTTTAGGCACTCCTTGGCATCTCTGTATATCTAATAAAAGTGGAATTACATCTCAGAAGTTGGAAAGATAGAAGATGCTCTGAAACTGCTTTTGAGGTAGCATCTATGCTCTGGTCAGTTTATGCTGTTTCCTATCTTTTCCCTGGAGAGTCCTTGCTTGAGTATTCTCATCCATACCTGTGCTTCTACTTCTTGGACATGGTAGAGTGGAGGCTCTCCTCTGGTCAGGAGAATCCTATTCAGTGCTCCCCTAGACATTTTTCCAGGCAGGATCAAACTCAAGGGAAAAGGAGTTCGTGACGCAAACCATGGCTTTGTCACAGTAAAGTAATTGTCACTCTCTACCCAGAATGTGTGGAGCTGCAAAAGTAGAGCAAAAATATTCCAAGAACATACTTTTACTAAAAAATTGCTCAATCAATGTAAGAATCTCTCATAAGTATCTTTGTATTAAGTGGCTATATAAATTTTATAGTTAGAATGATTCAGGATAAAGCAAGATCACATTTATGAGTTTTTACTATACCCCAAGCACCCAGAACAAGACCTAGCACTACCATAGAGTAGGTACACAGCAAATATTTGCTAAATGCATGATTTACAATTTAACCAATCCATATATGAAAAAAATTTCATCTCCCTTGAAGAATTTTTGTTCCCAAAATTATTTATCTTTCATTTTTAAACACATACTAGTTGAATGTCTAATACAATCCAGTAAGACTAATACTAAAAGAATCAAGATTAACATGCAAGCACACTTCCCTCTAGTAAGCATTTCAGATCTTCCTACCCAGACAACTGAAATTAAATCTTGAATCTAAATTGAATTTAAATGTCAATAAGATCCAAACAAAGTGCAATGTCCTATTAAGTCACTAAAATACTGTCATATTCACAAATACTCACCACAGCAGGGAGAAGTTTCTCTTCAAGGAGAGCTATGTAAGCCAGTGTATCTGCCCCTTGTTTTGCTGACAGTTCATAATCAGCATTATATTTCTATTAAAAATCAAAACCAAAGCACTTCAGTAGTCAAACAGCATCCAGAGAACAGTGAAGCTAAATAATGGCAAACATGATATTAAAAGTGGGAAATACAGACCTGCTGAAAACTATTGCTTAACGCACATAAGATTCTTAGCACATCAATAAATGTTGCACAAAATGTGATTTTAAAATTAACTTACTTGAAAAGACTATAGTATGTAGTACAAAGTTAACAAATACCATTAACTGTGGTTGTCATTTTAAAAACAAAATTCCAACTGGTTGAGCTTTCTACAATGATAAAGGGAAACAATTCCCGAATTATACTGACATGGAATATTTATGAAGTAGTGGCAAAGCCAAGTGTAACTTTGTACTCATATCAATCTTTACATGTTTAAACATTTGGGATATTTCTAAGTACATATGCACCTGCTCAAACGTTTTAGATACACTGTTTTATAAAACACACATCATATAAATAGTTGTTTTCAGTAGGATCTCTGATGTTACACACAGCACAAAATGTGTAGCAACTATGTCATCAAACTGATGATGGTGTAAGAGAAATAATGCATACCTAAACTGAAGCTTCTTATAAATGTCAGTAAGATCCAAGCAAAGTGCATGAAGATATACACTGACTAGACCTCACCGTATGATTTCAGTCATGATTTTTCAGGCAGTGATTCTCAAGTCCCTTTTTCATCAACTCAAGTTATTTCCAATTGTATGAGTTGCAAAATAACAAAAAATAGAAACAAATTTTGTTTTTTTAAAAAGATGATCAATAATATACTTCTTCAAAAGGAAACACCCACCTGTTTTCTTAAAAAGTTTAGTATTTTTGCAGGTTGAGAAACAACGTTGTCATCAGTTGTCAAAATTGGTATCTCACCTGCAATAAAAAAAAAAAATTAAAATTAAATACAAAGCAAAATTTGTGACTTCTCTGAAGAGATTCCAATATACTAATTATATCAATCCTACATATGGACAGGGAAAAATGAAGACGCACTTTAAATAATAAGCTTACGACTTAATTTTTTCAATCTCACAGAGATCTAGAGAATATTTTCATTTGTCAAAATTTTTACTGATTTGGCTTGCAATTTGCGTTATTATTGAGGATGATCAAACCATACACAACACATACTCAAGATCATATAAAAAACTAAAACCCGAAGGTGATGCTGGCTGTATACTTTTGTGGGTTTAAATGGAACTGGGTGGGGGAAGGGCAGAAAACAATGTTTGATTTACACTGTACCTCGTGAACCCCTCCAGGTGTTGTCTATGACACTGATTTTCAAGGGTGCACCAGAAAATTTGGCATAAGCCTGAAACAGAGTTTACAACAACACGTTTTAGATTGAAAATGTAATCCAAATCTGCAATGCAGCTTTATCTTCACTGTCCCGTCCTCTAAACGTAAGTCTCCAGACAGCGAGCCAGCTTTCGGGGACACTTCCCTAGAGGTCCGCGGGACTCGCAACCCGACAGCTTTCACTTTACCGCGCAGAGAGCTTCACAAGGTTCAAAAACGCGGGGCCGACCAGAGAGGTCGCGACGCTGCCACTCGGGCCCCGGGATCACAGGCCAGCGGTGACTCGAGCGGAGGCTCAGAGGACCGTGTGGGGAGCGGAGCTGGGCCGGCCCAACCCGCGGGACACGCGTCCCGGCTTCGCCTCGAACCCGCCCCTCTCTCCGCGTCTCAGCTGGCAGGGCGGCCTCACCATTACCACCAGAGACTCGGTGTGTACCGATGGGAGCCCCCAGCCGCCGCCCCAGCAGCTGAGCTCCAAGGGGGCCGCCATCTTTCTGGGAGCGACCTTTGCATCCGGAAGTACTTCCTTGCCCACCTTCCGGCACGTGGAGCGCGGGGTGGTGAAGCAGCGGGAGGGGCGGGTGGGCTCCGCGCAGCGCCAAAGGACTGCGCGCTGCGGGCAGACTCCGCGGCTTCAGGAGCGGGTCCGGAAGTCAGTCCAGGGGTGGTCACTGGATGCCCACTGTGGGTCAAATTCCGTTCAAACGGAAAGGCTGCCCATTAGTAAAATAAGGGTTTTGTTTACAGAATTATGTTTAAAATGATTTAGCACAACAGACGCGGTCCATTTATCCCTTCATTCCCCCCCCCCCATATTTATTAGCTTTTCTACTCTCAGGCATAGTATCATTTGTGTCCATGTGCTCTAGCCTCTTTGAAAGTGTCCCTGTTCCTGAAATTTAGCAAGTGAATTCTGCCCCCGTCAGTGTTACTCCTTTATCTGGAACGTCTTTCTTCCAATGTTCAACTGTTTCCTCAAAAATGAACTCAAGTACACCTTGCTTGGAATGACTAGATGGGACTTCCTTTCCATTCTTGGAACTCCGTGTATGTACTTGAATTGTCGACCTAAGTCTCCGAACTTTTGTCCTTCACTCTACAGAAGCTCTTTTGACACAGAACAGGGCCACCTTCTAGGTGTGGGATGGCGCGGTCATTCCAGGCCCCGTGCTGACAAGAGGGTCTCAACTAAGGCTCTGCTATCACTGTCTTGAAATCTTAATAATTTTTTAACAAGACACTGTGTCTAGTGAGCATAGCATGGTTTCTTGAAAATTAAATCTGTCAATTTCTCAGAAAACCCACTAAAGAAGAAAGATAGAACTTAGAAATGCCATGAACCAGGTAAATTTACTGGCTTCTAGACTTGGGACTTCTGTACTGAGTCTTCTTAAATGGAACAGTAATATTCCTGCGATCCTTCAGTTATTCTATAAGTTCTCTTTTCTGTGTCCTAATGAGCTAGGTGAGGTTCCCTGAAACAACAAAAGGTCAAAAGAAAACATCTGCAAATTTTCACAAAATAACTGTTCAGGAAGTATTTGCTAGGCACTTTCTTACTATTTACATAATTGTCTAAATTACAATGTCAACTGCTAGTCTTTCCTGTTTTAAAAAATAAGAGTGCTTAGAAATGGGAAGGGAAAGATATAATAAACTTAAAAACCATTAATAATATTTTATAGCTATATATGCTTACAGTTAAACCTACATAATAAATGAGCAGCTACTATGTCTGAGACACTGTAAGGCTCTGGGAGAATATAGACATTTAGAACATGAATTGTATCCTCCTGGGTCCACAAAGGAGACAGACACACATCTAAGTAATGAATCTTTGTTATGATTAAGTTTAGAGATGTGAATAAAATGCTGAAGAAATACAAAAGAAGCACAATCCTATATAGGAAAGAATCTGTGTTGTCTTCAGTGTAAAGAAGATGCAGTAATTGAACTTTTAGATTCAAGGAATGGAACCTCCCTGTTTTGAGGTATAAACTCAGAGTGCTACTATTCTCAGGCAATTAAAATGATCATATATGGAGAATATACATTCTCTATGTCCCATTTATGAAGGAAGGGGTGGAGGTTGGGAATGTGGTGGATGAATATTCTTTGAGTACACATAATTATTTGGTTAGGTGTGCTCCCTTACTGATATTGTTACATATTCCTATGATGATTTTCTTTGCACTAAGGAGAAATTAAATTTCTTCCTTTAGTATTGAATTAAGGCAGAAAATAGAATTTTAGTGCATCTCATGAGAAAATTCTTCCACACAGGTTTATTTGTACCTAGTTACTAGCAATCTTTTATTGCTGTAATTCCTCTTGAGAGTCTCTATGTGCTACATTGAATTTTAAAATCCTGGCATAGCTTGGTTGCAAAACCAGACTTAAAACTGTCCCAGGGAACAACACAGAAAGTCAAAACCTTCTGAGATTGTCCCTGGTATGGGTAATTGACCCTTGTGCTTTTGTCTGGCTGCTACAGAGTTCATCCAAATCATAATTTCAAATGCTTACCAGGAAGAATACTATCTTCAAAACATGTATGTGAAAAAAAAACATGTATGTGTGGGATGGCTTGAATCACAGCTTTATGATGAATATTCCAGACAGTGTTTTCCCTGAAAGAAAATCTTATTTTTCAAAAGATGGGTATTAAAATGGCTTCAGTAGTAGTGGTCAGCTGAACTCAGGGGAATGACTTTGGCATCCATTCCTGTCCCTCAAGTGTTTCTTAACTTGAGAGCCCTGCTGAAGGTTTTCTTAGTAACACTGTCTCTCTTCCCTCAATGATTAAAAAATCTGTGAAATGGAGCTGTTGGCAAAAATGAAAAGTTCGTGATAAGTGATCATGCAATATGTTCCTAATGGGAAAGTTAAAGAGCCTCAAATGTCCCTTATAAATCAAAGATTCCATAATACAGTCTCTGCCTAGATGTAGAAATTCTTAGGGAGAAAAACAAACAACAACAACAAAAAGATAATGTATAGAATTTGGGGTTTGACTTAGTGCCTAAATTATTCATATGTTTTTAAGTCAATCCTTATTTATCTTGATTCCTCAGCTCCTCACTTATAAGGTGAAGGTTGTTTTAGCTCTGAGGTACATTTTGTGTAATGAACATTTAATAGTAGCTGGCATTTATGCAGCAATTTCTACAAGCTAGAAATTGTTTTAAGTATGCATCTGACATAACTCATTCAATTTTGTAATGACTCCAGGAATCAGATACAATTATGTTCTTTCTTTCTTTCTTTTGTATTTTAGGGAAGGATCTACAGAGTGTTCAGGGACTCGCTACTAGATCGGACTCATAGTGATCCACCTATTTACAGTCTCCCAAGAGCTGAGATTACAGGTGCATGCCACCATGCCCAGTCTCAATTGCCCTCTCAGCATGTCCTGGGGGCAAGGCTTGCATGGCAGGCTCAGGGATCGAACCCCTGACCCCTGTGCCTGCTTGAAGGTGCTTTAATCCTCTGAGCTATTTGGCTGGCCCTCTGTTACGGTCTTGATATACAGAGAAAACAATCTCAGTGGATGACCTACAAATGATATAAAGAGAAAATAATATAGGGGAAAAAATTGAAACTCCCAACCTGAAAGATATCTGGGACGAGTTCATGTTCTCTAAAACCAAAGAATGAATTTTAGGAGCAAACAGAGGTTATGAGCAGAATATATTTATTGGGGGAAAGAAAGCTTCTGTCCAAGGGAAGGACAGGAGGGGGTTCCCAAGCAGGTAGTCCCCAGAAAGCTGTCTCTTTCAAGGACTTTATAGTGTAAAACCATGTGGATCTAAGGTGGAGTATATCGGAACTCGCTTAGGTGGGCATGAAGTGGGACAAAACTGTGGTCAACCAATGAGATTACAAGCACCATTGCTCAGGTAAAATTGATAAAGTCCAGGACCAAATGGGGAAGTGAGTCATGTAGCAAGCAGGAATGAATATAGAACAGGACTTTTTCCAGTAGCCAGCCAGTAGTAGGTGGATTAGTGACTCTTCCTGGCCTCCTCAGGGTGCTCAGTCCCCGATTCTTATTTTTATTTTTATTTTTATTTTTTTCAAAGTTTTATTGATAAACAGATAGCAATGAGAGAGTTTCAAATCAAATTGGAAGTACAGTTTCAATAAATAATGCACTGCATATATCCTTCTTAGTGGTTAATTGCTGTACAAGATGCGGACTTGTGATCCTATTTAAAAACACCATTAGAACAAATCATTCTATTCATTAAGAGAATGCAACTATATATCTATCCCAGACACTTTGAATACACAGATACAAAATGGACATTCATAGGTATACCCCATTATTCCTACGTTCCGTTATTGAATATTATAGGTGTATTACTCAGCAAAATATTCTAAAAGAGTCCAGTAGCCCATAATAGCATTGGGTCTTCTGTTTAACTGGCAATGTCAGAAATTATTGACCTGAGTCCCCCACAG